CCGAGTCTCCCATGCTTTAAGGCTTATTCCATCTAACAGCTGGAAGTGTGTCAGTTTAAATGCCTCCTTGGAGGCATCAAATGCCTCTGAGGGCTTGCTTTGCCATCTAGTGGTGGCAGTGATAACCAGCAAGGTCCTACTCTCCAGAACTAGGGATGATGGAGCCTTCCAGAGGGTCACCCATGAGCCAACCAATCACCTGTGTGTTTTCACTCAGGATTCACTTCAAAGAAGAGACCTTAGAAACTTATAGTCCACTCAACAGATAAAAAGAACTGTCAGAGGGACTGTGATAAAAAGGCTTTAAAATAATGCCCAGAGTGGGTGAAACTAGGTATTTATGAAAAAAAGAAAAATTTATACTGTTCAAATTCTTAGTTGTTTCTAGCAATACTAGTCTATGCTATCACAAGATTTTTTATCACAATAGCCTGTTTTAAATTCTAAAATTGAATGTTTATGTGATTTCTTTAAATTTAAAAAAATTTACATTTAGGACCCATGAATTAAACTTATTTTTATACTTCATAACACTTCCCACTACTTTCTTTCCAAACATCTGGGGCAGACAAAATAGAAATTAGATTTTCACCTTCATAAATATATTAGCTGTCTATTTCTTTTGTGTATGGGAGTTATCCATGTGTGTTCCATGTACATGTTTGCAAGTACATGTGGAGGCCCAAGGTTGACCTTGGGTGTTGTTCCTCAGAAGCTGGCCACTTGTTTTTTGAGAAAGGGTCTCTCATTAGGAGCAGGACTTGCTGATCAGGTGAGGCTGACTAGCCAGCAAGCTCCAGGGATCCCCTTCCTCACCTCCCCCAGCACTGGGATTACAAATGTATTCAACCATGCCCAGCCTTTTTAATATAGGTGCTGGGGATCCACCTCAGATCCTCATGCGTGCAGAGCAAGTACTTCAATGACTGAGCTATCTTCCAAGTCCCCTAGCTGCCTATTTCTGCTCTAATATACTACACAGACATTATGGAGTTGAAATCATACAAAATTATTATCTTACATATCTGGAGGTCAGAAGACTGCATGCCTGGGGGAATTATAAGAGAGCTTCTTCTTGCTTACCCTTCACATCTTGTAGAGGCTGCTCAGAGTTCTTGGGGTTGCAACCCTGCCTCACTGCAACCTTTGCTTCTATCTTCACAGCTGTCTCAACGTTTGCCCATGTGCTTCCTTTTTATAAGGACTTGTTATTGCACTGGACTCACTTGGCATGATAATCCCCTCATATCAAAATTTTAGCTTAATCACATTCACCCCATTCCTCTTATTACATGAAGAATATAGCCTCAGGCCCTTAGGATGAAGATGTGGGTCACTCCATAGGCCAGCACTTGTATACCACAGGAGATATATGACAGTGAGAGATGCAGAAAATACTACCCATTGCTTCTGGTTTTGTTTTTGCTTTGGTATTAGAGACAGTGTCATACAGTGTTGCCCAGGCTGGTTGGAAAGTTCTGAGTTTAAGTGATGCTTCTCCAGCTTCCTGAGAAGCTGAGACTATAGTGTGTACTACAGCATTCAGCTTTCCTGTTTTCTTTTACCCCTATGCAGTCTAGGCTGGTGATTTCTTACTTTAGCTTCCCAAGGACTGGGATTACAGTTATGCAGCACCAGACCCAGATTCTTAAATTTTGGCTTCTGATGTTGGGTAACAATGATGATAATTGCTACGGTTTGCTGAGTGCTCATTGTGCGAGTGCGTGCGTGCATGTACACACACACGCACATGCACACACACACACACACACACACACTGGTCTCTGTCAAAAATACTATATAACACTATCTTTTTTAACACATGTGGAAAGTGTTTGGAGAGATTAGGTATCCTTAAGAAAATTCCTGTGCTGGAGGCTGGAGAGATGACTCAGCTGTTAGGAGCACTGGCTGTTTTTGTAGAGGACAATTCCTTGTAAAGGAAAATTCTTGTGTTCAATTCCTAGTACCCACAGGGCAGCTAACAACTGTCTGTAACTCCAGTTCCTGGGGATCCAACGCCCTCTTCTGACCTCCGCATGCATTCAGGCAAAATGCTTATACACATAAAAATAAAAATAAATAAATAATTAAAAAAGAAAATTCCCCTGATATTAAGTAGCAGATATAAGTTGACTTGATTTTAACATCCAGTCTGTATAGCAATGGAATCACCCCAATTCTTACTGCCTGTCTTTGTTATGAAATGGACACTGTTATTTTTGTATCACTGACACCATATGCTTCATGTAAATGTTGCTCCACATGGTGCTCCAGTCAGTGATTAACATCAGTAAGTGA